CATTACATGAAGCAAATACTGGCCTCTGCTTATTTCCTAGTGGTTGACCTGGCCTGGTGTGAGATATCATTCTTTCAGTGTATTTAAGTAGAAGAACTTTTGTATGCAAAGGTTAACCGTCGTATTGAAAAGTTTGGATGAATCATTAAAAGTACTTTCATTGTTGTGAAGTGATTTTGCATTTATTCATTAATGCTCGTCTTAGCCAAGTATCAATTAAACGTTTTTAGTTAAATAAATTTCACTCTGTTAAAAAAGGATCTAAGTAACTAGGCTGCTTAAAACTACTGATATATATATATATATATATATGCATAAATGACTCCTGATTTGGTCATTTCATTACTTCAAATATATTTAAAGTTTACGAAAACGAGACTATCCTCAATTCCTGTTTACTACCGCTTCATTATCTCTTAACGTTCATCTGACCATCTTACGAATCTGCCTGTCCTCTAGAATCCCGGTTCGATTTTCTTTATTACGATGTAATATCCCATGGTTTATTTAGTGGCCTAACGTATAATTTTGGTAGAAATTTGCCGAACGTTTAATTTTTTCTGTTTTTGTTAGATGTACGATGCCTGGATTACAGCTCTGCATGATGCTAGTAATGACCGTACCGTTAAAATCGTTGCAGTAACTGGTGACTATAATACATTTTACTGTTTTTCCAAATATTCTTCTTTGATTTTAATTTATAAGTTTTCTAGGTGCGGGTGATTACTTCTCCAGCGGTAATGATTTATCGAACTTTACAATGACCAAATCCCCTCTGGAAATGGCCGAAGAGGCAAAATCTCTCTTACTACGTTTCGTTGCAGCCTTCATTGATTTTCCAAAGCCTCTCGTTGCTCTGGTCAATGGACCTGCTGTCGGAATTTCTGTGACAACTCTCGGGCTTTATGACTACATTTTTGCAGCTGACAATGTAAATGATGTTGATTTCTCTTTTTGCATATCTTGTTAATTCAAGTTGTTTTTTAATACGAATTTGTATGTATTTGTTTCCATTTTAATCTTCCAGGGCAAATTTAAGAAAAATTCATTTTTGATGTTTTTTACCGATTTAAGTTGTTTTTTCATTCGCCTTGTTTTTTATTCCATTAGGCTACATTTCATACTCCCTTCACGAGCTTAGGCCAAACTCCTGAAGGTTGCTCCTCATATACGTTTCCAAAAGTTATGGGACAAATAAAAGTGAGTTATAATTTTATCCTGCCTATGGCTTTCCTTAAGATATTATTGGTGTAGCTCTTATTTCGTTTAAATAGGCGAGGGAAAAGGACTCTTAAATTGGCCCCATCGGAAACCGAGGCGGCTTATTTATCGTCAACTGAAGTTAAGTGAATTATGTATGACCTCAACCCTTCTCAATGTAATACAATCCTACAGACCTAGAAATTATCTTGATGAGTAATCCTGATTTTCCCAAAAAAATTTAAATACTGCTAGATAATATATCTGCCACAATAAATTTGTTTCTTTCCTTAAAAAAATTTTAATTTTAATATTCCTTGATTTCTGCTTCATTTGTTTATTTATCTTATACAACATGCCATATTTTGAAACTTTTCATGATTTATTTTACATTGA